CAAGTGTAGTACTGTTTTATCCCTCTTCTAGTTTTATTAAATATATGTCTTCAAGTTTTATTATAGTATTATAAATAATATTTTTATTTGTAAATACATTTTGTCAATTAAACATATAAAAACCTTTAAATGAACTAAATGGAGATCATCAGAAGACAAGGATAAAAAAAGAGTTGACTGAAATTTATCTTCATTGAGATTTATTCATTGAGTTTATTCAGTAAAAATAATATATACACATACATATATAAAATTTACATACATTAATAACTGGATCACATAAAAATAACTTATTTTCATTGTGGTTTAGTACACAGAGTGCATTTATCTACACAGGACAAGTTTTCAGTTCTTATGGATTATAGCTGATAAAGTACACCTTCCACTGTGTGTTTTTTTACTTTAATACTTTGAGTTAAAATACTGTTCTGTTACTTTTTTACTCACGTTATACATCAGTCATCTTCAGTGTATTCCAGTCACGTTGAGCTGATAAGAAAAATAAGAAAAACACTTGCTGGAATGTGGAGGGACCTCATTCATCAGGTCCTTCCAGCTTTGAGGATCACTGTTTGTTGAACCAGTTTTCTATTTTTAGACGTGTTCGTCTTTTCCTGTTCACACAGGAAGCCATGACTCCATGAGTTACTGCCTGGACATCAACTCCCCGCTGGTCCGCTCCGAGTCTGARCTGTTGAGGCTCCTGGATGTCATTTTTTACTGCTTTACCAGGCCGTTGATCTTTCAATGGGCCACTACACAGGTATGATCAGAGGTAGGCTGGAAAAGACCCACATAGCAGACAGGTGTGGGCCAGAGCTAGGGTCAGCTGGCACTGCTGGCGGACTGCTGCCATGGCAAGCGGTTCGTCAACAGCATGTGGTCCAGYTATGGCAATGATGGCACTGTTTGCAAGATGGTATTCCACTACTGGCCCAGTTGTGTTTGGTTTATGTGGCCCAAATCTGTCAATGCCACAACTGGCCTGGTTTTAGTTTGGTTAATGTGGCCCAAATCTGTCAATGCCACAACTGGCCCAGTTGTGCTTTGGTTTATGTGGCCCAAATCATCATCATCATCATCATCATCATCATCATCATCATCATCATCATCATCATCATCATCATCATCATCATCATCA